AAACATTAAAGAGTTCTCTGTCCATATCCAGGATAGATCCCAGCGGTCTATAGCACACCCCAAGCACTATCCCAGGGGAGGCTCTAGTAGTTCTTTTACCCAGTGTGAGTATTGCCCAGAGACTCAGTCTTATCCATTCCATCACTTATTATTTCTTTACAGTTTACCTCATTATTGACATACAATGCTACTCCCCCACCTTTGCCTTTGTTCTGGTCTTTCCTAAACAGCACATACCCTTCCATACCTGTACTCCAGTCATGACTACCGTTCCACCACGTTTCGGTTATTTCTATGATATCCGGTTTCATTTCTTGGACCAGGAGCTTCAATTCCTCCATTTTGTTACCTAGGCTTCTTGCATTGGTGTATAAACATCTTAATTTATGCCGTTTGGCCTCTCTCACATTCGTTGTCCAATTTGGTACAGACACCGTACCGCCAGTATGACCTATTAGTCTAGTATCCATCCTCCCCCTCCTCCTTATGTCCAATCTCTTCCCCCTGGCTTTATCCGTTCTTATCTCATTGTCCTGCCTCTCAATGTTATAATCTGGTGTGGAGATTAACTGGACATCTCCCAACTATCTCCCCCAAATTCCTAGTTTAAAGCTCTTTTGATGAGATGAGCCAGCCTCCCTCCCAGAAGTCTATTTCCTTCCCTATTTAGGTGAAGTCCATCCTGTGAGAACAGATTTCTGTCCCCGAAAGCCTCCCAGTGGCCATACATCCCAAAGCCCTCTTTATAGCACCACTCCCTTAGCCAACTATTTATCATCACAATCCTGTCACCCCTTTGCTGCCCTTCTCTAGGAACAGGCAGAATCCCACTGAAGATGATCTGAGCCTCGATTTCCTTAAGCATCTTCCCCAGCCTGACATAATCTCCCTTGATTCTCTCCAGCGAGAACCTAGCCGTGTCATTCATTCCTACGTGAAGGATGATCAAGAGGTTCTTACCTGCTCCTTTTAGGATCCTTTTCAACCACAGGTCCACATCCCGTATCTTAGCGCCCGATAGACAGCACACCCTTCTGTTCTCTGTGTCCGCCCTGGTCACAGGCCTGTCTAACCTCCTCAATCAGGAGTCCCCAATCAAGTAAACCTGCCTTTGCCCGGTGACAGTGCAATCTACTAATCTATCCCCTGTTCCCTCTAGTTGCAATTTTCCCATTCCTATTTTCCCTTATAATCCCCCTTATGCCATCCTGTATCCTCCCGGGGCCCAGATTTGGTGCTGTCTCCATCAACTCCTCCCCCCTTTCTATGGGACTAGCTGCTCTTCTCTTCTTCCTCACCCTCCCACCCTCAGTTACCACCTGCTGCACCCCTTCCTCGTTTTCCAAACACCCAAACCTGTTCCTGAGCTCTATTTCTCCTTCACTGGCCCTCCTTTTCCTTGGCCTGCTTCTCACGGTCACATGCTTCCACTGCCCTTGTTCTCCCCCTGGCCTCCCCCCCCGGCCTTTGCCCCTGCTTTCACCTGTACCCTTGAGCATTCCCCTTCAGCCACTCCTTGCCTTTTCTCCATCAGCTGCTCGATCCCCCTTCTAAACTCTACCAGGGTATCTATCTGCATCTCCAAACCTTGGATCTTTTCTTCCAGCAGCTCTATTAGGCAGCACTTCATGCAGACATACCTCTGTTCAGGCTCCCCCGCTAGCACCATGTACATACCGCAGCTTCCACATGCAATCATCTGCATTGTGTCCCCCGCTGCTTGGCTCATGGCTGCTGCTGTCTGTGCCCGCCCTTGAGCTAGTTGGTTTAACTAAAGGTGTGATTTAGTTACACCAGTGAAAATCCCTAGTTGGATATGCATAGCTGTTTATAACTGGCTCTCCAGGTTTAAAAATGAAATTAAGTTTATCCACATTAAGTTGAATCAGCTTAAGTCAGTCAGTCAAAAAAAAAAAAAACAACACACCACACCCAGAACAATCAGACTTAGTTAAACAAGTTTAAATTTGCATAAAGACAAAGCCTCAGATACAATAGGAGCTTGATGCAAATACAGAGAAGTACGTCATAATGCTTCTCATGAAAACAGTTTAGATTAGCGGTAGTGAGTGGACTAGCCAGAAAATTAAACTAACTCGACAGCACTGCTCTTTAAAAATGAGAGCAAATCATTTCTAGGGGCTCCCCTTACAAGTCATGTGGTAGAGACATTTCTTGTAATCCAACACCTCAAGAAATTAAAATTATCAGGAGCCACTAAACACTGTATAACACCCTCAAGTTAGATTTTAAACATAAATTCCCTTAATGTGTTAAAGCATAACAGACAATCACCTGTCTCCTTGGCAGAGAGACAACGCTGAAGCAAGCTTGCCAAAAAGCAGAGCTACATCATAACAAATCCACTGTAACAACTTCAAACCCATATTCAAACAAAAAAAGCAGGATTTTGTCTTTTTATTTTTAGAGCAGTGCTGTTGCATCACCAAGGTGACTGAAACAGAAGCATTGAGTTACACACCTCCTTTTCCAACCCCCCACACAATGTATGTGGTAAATTACAGACTTAAGAGTTGCTGAGTCACACTCAATAAAGGTAGAATTGTGGTAACCGAATCCCCCAAGCATTTGGATTAAAGCATATAAAACTTGTTCAAGCAACAGTATGCAACGATCTCATTTAACTTTGTGCATGGTGGGGTTTCTTAGTCCCAGAATTACTAGACTAAGCAACTCTGAGTTTTTTTTTTTTTTAAATATAAAAAACACCACACCCTTTCACCCAGCAGCACATGCTTGTTTCCCCATCCCAATTTCTCTCCCTCCATTTTGCCCCTCCCCCATTTTATTCTCATGATATATGAGGTCACCAGGCCCTTGTTTCACTCCCCTCACTACTCTGGAATTTCCTTCCCCTTATTGAGTGCTCAGTCCTGCATGGTGCTGAGCACTGACTCCAATTCACCAGAGTCCCATTGGCATAAATAGGACAATTACTTATTTAAAGTTGAAGGACATGGTTAATTGCTTCATTGGATTAGGGCCAGCATGCTCAGCATCTTGCAGGACCAAGCCCTTAGAAAGATATGGGATATACAGAAAAAATGAGGGACACTATTTATTTAAAAAGGGGGGGATAATCAGATCTATTACTGGTCAATTCAATACTGTTTTATTGGCATTATAATAATCATTTTTACTGTGGTAGCTCTCAGGGGCTCCAATCATATTCAGGGCCCCCCTGTACCGGGGGCTGTATAAAACCACACAAAACATATTCCCCAGTCTTAACAAGCTACACAAGTGTTGTAAGAAGAACATTTAAGAGCCCTCATGTTTTTGGCAGAGGGAAGCCCAGTATGGTCAGACAAAGAATTAGTGCCAAGCTTGTAAGGGACAGGGAGAGAAACTGGAACAGTAACACAACAAAGCAGCCAAACATGACCTATATGCTATCAAACAGGCAAAGGAGACTCACTTGATAACAGATGTAGGCTTCCCAGTCTTCCCCTCCAAATTTGTGCTTTTCTTTACATTTCTAGTGGCTCTCCCACAAAAATGTTAACCCCTGGGCACCACAAGCCTTCCATTAATCGATATTACTTGCAAATCATCCATTGCTATCGAGTATTTCCCTACACCTTCTGTTTTTCTGCTCACCCCAGGAAACAAAATAACCTCCAAATACATTTTAAAAATACACACCCACACACACCCACCCCCTTGTGGAAAAACAGTATTTACTATCCTTTTATCAGGATAAGTTCTACTGAGATGAATACAGCAAATAAGATTTTTGATAAATTAATACACAAGAGATCATCTTGATAAGAGGCTTTTCCCATCCAGCAATGTTCTCTCTACTGTGCAGCAGATTGCATCATGTTCTAATTAGCTTTACCCATCTTAAAAAGACTAGAATTTAATACATTGGAATTTTGCCAGAACAAAATCCGATCAAACACCATTTACCCTCTGAACTGTAACTGGAGAAAGCTATCCACTCATCCCATCTGCAAAAGCTATCTGTAACTCTAGTTCGCACTAGGTGCCTAAAGCAGCTCCTGTTTCTAGTGCAGCATATTAGGAGCACCACGGATTTCAGCAAGACTTGGAATAAAAGAGGACTAGAACTTGGCACCTTGGTATCTGTATGTGCCAGACTAACACTGTCACACATCAATATACAGATTATGTATCATGGCATTTGGTCAAAATCTCATCCACCAGGATAACATTCTCCAGATTTCAACCAGCACAAGTGGTTTATTTCATGCAGTTAATTGCCTAAAGACCAGAGGACAAAGTAACAAGAACTAGACAGCTTTGTTCCCCAACTCCAACCATCAGATCAACGTTCACCCTACAGCAGTAGTTCTCAAACTTTTGTACTGGTGACCCCTTTCACACAGCAAACCTCTGAGTGTGACCCCCCCCCTTATACATTAAAAGGGCTTTTTAAAATATATTTAACATCATTATAAATGCTGGATGCAAAGCAGGGTTTGGGGTGGATCCCCAAGGGGTCCCAACCCTTGAGAACCCCTACCCTACACCATCCAGCATGAGAGGCTGTTGATGCCAATCTCCACCATTGTCTGCATGGGGGGGGGGGGGGGAGGAGAGAGGAGAAGAGAAATATAGTGATGTAACGATGGCGCGGGGCCGGGGCACACAGAATGCTTTCGCTCCCATTCGGGAAATCTCCAAATCAGACGAAAAGAGAAAAGAAAAAGAGAGGGGGAAGCGGAACCTATTCGTCATCGTAACTACTACCACCTGGGTGACCTGACCTCTTACAAGCCCATCTATCAGCTGGTGCCTGCAGCACAAGCTGATGCAATCGGAAACTGGCAGGAAAGGGACACCCCCGCAAAGAACACGTAGCTCAGGCAACAACGACGAACCCCCAGCAGTGCGGTGCATCTCCCCAGCCAACGTGAAGCCCACTCGGGCTGCCCAGTCCCCTTGTCCCTCACCCCGCTACCCCCATCCGAGCTCTCCCATCTGCTCTCAGCTGCTCTACCGCTTGCACTTACTTGGACTGACAGGAAGAGACAAGCGGCGGCAGCAGCCGGAGTCCCACTGCGCGTGGATGAGACGCCCGGCCCGCAGCAGCCGCCGCCCCCCAGCTGTTTCCCTGCGCGTGTGCGAAGGGAATTCTCCCAGTCGTTACCCTCGCTAGCTTTTGGAGAGGGAACGCGCGCTGATTGGCCGGGCCGTGGGCGGAGGGGGGGGACACGCCCCACCAATAGAAAAGCAGAGTCGCTGCCCTGGCCCTGCGCAAGTTCTTTCCTGCGCGTGTGTTTAGCGAGGGGGCTGAGAGCCCGTTGTGGGAGGCTGTGGCCGGCCAGTTTGTTTGCGAGGCCCAGGCCACAGTGTGAGCTCAGAGCCAGCAGCATCCAGCCTTCTGGCTGCCTGGTGAGAGGACACATCCTAGGTCCATCCCTTTAGCCCATCACATAAGCACCAGCATCCACTATAGAAGGAATAGGGCTAAAATAATTTTTTTCCCTACCAAGCCAGGGAGCTAGCTACAGCTATATGCCCCAATCCTGCAACTGGACTTGTTCAGGCAGGCCCCTTTGTCCACACGGAGGCAGGATCAGGGTCATACGTGCCCCAGCTCTGCATCTGTGACAGCTGCTGTTACTCTGGTGATAGGTGCCATCAGAAGGACCTAGAGGGATATTAGTGAACATATGTAGAAATAAATTATTTGACAGCATTTCACACAACAATAAATGAGAACGTTTGGTTTTGTGTTTAATGGGCAAACAAGGGTTGGCTGCTGAAAGGAACAGAGCACTCAAGCCCTGACCCAGGGAAAAACTCAAACTCATGCTTAACTTTAAGTATATGAGTAGTCCCACTGGATTTATCCATATGCAGTATCAGGGGTCAAAATGTTCAGTGCTTTGCTGAAGGGAGTCTTCCAGTTGCAGCCCTTTAAGGACTCAGGCTAGACCTTCAAAGATATTTGGACACCTAACTTCCATTGATTTCAGTTTGGCACCTAAATACCTCTGAGGATCTGGGCCTCAGTCTCCAACCTAAGGAAGACACAAGCATGCTGCCACAGTAGCCTTGTGATGTCAATAATTCAAATAAGCAGTGAATTTCTAATTGATGTTTTACATGTAATATAAAGATAGTAGGCCAGCAGCACCCTGTTCCTGCAGGAGTAGCATTTTCATCCAATCTGATCTCACCTCTCCCACTCACTGTGGAAAATACATCCCACTCCAGTAGCAGCAGCTACTTCAATTTGAAAAGGAGTAGCACCACTCCTACCCAATAAACCAGTGATAATCAAACAAGGAATTTCAAGGCACATGTAGCAATTCATAACATTACACACAGTTCTTGCCTAGGGGTTTAATAAGGTATCAAGCCACACAATGCACCAATTTTTGGAGGAAAAATGGCAATTTAAAATTTACACAGAATAGCAGATTAAGGCAAACAGGATTGCACCAAAGTATATACCTCACTCAGTTTTTCCTCCTAACAAACAACCCTGCAAAACCCTAAATAGTGGTTAACCTTTCAGGCCAAAGTGGACAACAATATTTTGCATTTATATAGGGTTTTATAATCAGTGACTAACTCCCTTGTAGTGTGTTGTGATGATTAATCCTCATTATCATCCCCATTTTACAAATATCGAAGCTAAAAATGGTGAAGGCCACTGAGAGAGTCAATTTGAGCCACAACTGGAAAACCATCTTGTGCTTAGTTCAGGTGATGCCTCTTCATTATTGAGTAGCTCCTCCTTGTTGCCAAAGTTTACTATTGGCTGCTCAGCAAAAGAGCCAACTCAGTTTCAACCACATGATGAGCAGCCCTAGCACCTCACAGCCACAAATTTGCTCAATATGTAAAATTTTTAACAGCCACCAAAACAAGTTTTGGATGGCTTGGGAGGATGGAAGTGGATGATAAGCATAAAATAATGGTGGTTAGGAAATATCACATACATTCAAGTCCTTCTCTGCAACACAAGGGCTAGAAACTTACCAGTGGGCAGAACCACCAAGAACTAAAAGGAG